GGGTCAAATTTGGATATGAACCATCAAAATGCAAGAAAAACCCACATGTAATCCATTGCCAATCATGCGATTAACGGCATTGTTGCCACCTCCACCTACTCCGACGACCTTGATCTTGGCCACGTCCATTGGAGTAAACGAGCTACTACAAGTACAGTAACGCTTCGAGGGACTTCGACGACGAGCCTGGAAGGAGAAACATGTTTTTGAGACGAATGGAGAGAAGGTTTTGTGGTTAAATCCACTGAAAATTGAGGAGGAAGAAGAAGAACACATTATTTATTCTTCTCTTCACTTGTTGAAATTTGTAGCAATTTACAAGTTGAAGTTAAGCCGAGATTACTGTTTCTCTTCACTTGTTGAAATTTGTAGCAATTTACAAGTTTATGTTAAGCCGACATATGATCACCCGCCGAGGTATACAGTAAGTTACAGGTTAAAATAAAGGCTAAGTATATTGTTCTTCACTTGTTGAAATTTGTAGCAATTTACAAGTCGAAGGTAGGCCGAGGTTATTGCTTAAGTTCTCATAGCAGTATGTGGGTTGTTTAAACCCTAGGGAAGATGCTTAACACTTGTTGAAATTTGTAGCAATTTACAAGTTTATGTTAAGCCGACATATGATCACCCGCTGAGGTATATAGAAAGTTACAGGTTAAGGTAAAAGTATATTATTCACTACTTGTTGAAATTTGTAGCGATTTACAAAGTAAGACTAAAGACTACCATTTAATGTTTGTTGAAACTTAAGAAGAAGCATACAAAGTTTACATTCCGAAATATATGTTCTATACTTGTTGAAATTTATGAAAAGATTGCAGGACAGTATCTTGCCGAAATAAAAAGTTTCTATGGTTATACCCGAGGTATAAAACCCCGAGGAGATTGCACAAAGGAAGCAACATGAGGAAACATGCAAACATTTTCTAAGTACAAGACTATGCAAAAGCAGTCAACAGAATATCACAAGATTGAAACATCCTGAGGAAGAACTGTTGCAGTTACATATTACCACGTCGGCCAAAAGAAAGAGTTTTGCTTTAATCCAGAAATATTACCACGTCGGCCAAAAGAAAGAGTTTTGCTTTAATCCAGAAAGTAAAAAAGTACAAAGCGCAAGAAACAGGAAAAAGAAGGAAAAAAGTACAAAAAAACATTTTCAAGATTCTTCAGTATCAGCCACTGCAGGAACTGGGACCTCGGACGACACAGGTGGAATCTCCTCGGCCACTTTCTCCGCTTGTATTTCGGCATCTATCTCTGCCAATGTTGTGTCAAGGCTTCTTTCGGTCAGAAGGAGGTCAGATGATAGATACCCTTGAACAGACTCCCTGGGCACTTCCTCAGCATCATCACCCCCCTCATCTTGAGTTAAGTCCATAACATGCTCAGCAGGAGGAGGGGACTTGACTTCGGCAGCACCCTTGGGTTTTCTCACCAAGGCCTCACCCCCATCTTTTTCTTCATCTTCATCCACGGCCTCGGCATCAGACTCTGATTCACCTTCAGGAGGAGGAGGAGGAAACGGTAACGGAATAGCGTCGGCCTGACGCAATGGCGAGTCAGCAGGGAGGTCAAGCTTCTTTATCAAGGACATCCAACCAAGGGAAAATCCCCTGTTGCATGCCTGCCTGACTTGAAGCTTGTAGTCTTCTGCGACGTCGGCCATACCTTGAGCATAGGCCTTTTCATCGGTCTCTCTAATTTCGGCCTCTTTGGTGGCCAGAGCTTGCTGTAGTTCTTTCTCCGCTTGGGCCTTCTGAACCTCGGCCTCTCTTTTCTCGGCCTCAGCAACTTTTCTAACGGCCTCAGCAGCCTCGGCCTTCTCAAGAGCTAAAGTTTGAACTTTAGTTGCAGCCTCGGCCTGATTCTCCAATTTTTTCATTTTTGTTTCAAGGGCCCTTATCTCTCTCTTCGTTGAAGATGCTTCCCTTTTCATATCAACCAACCTTTGACGATTTTCAAAGGATTGCATGGAAAATGAGTGGGCATGCTGAATGGCCTGCAAAAAAAAAACAGAAATATAAGACAGTACTCTCAGAGAAGAACGAAAGAAAAAATCACAAGTACAAACAGAAATACTTACTTGAGCAGAATGTTGGAGCATAAGAGCATAGTTTTCGTACTCACTAAGCTTGCCATTTCGCTCCAAGTCATTTGGTAGAAGAAGAGCAGTGCTAAGGGCGACAGCAACATTAATGTCGTCAGCACTTTCACTAGCCATAATGGGCCTATCCTCCAGGGATAGATCAGGGGCCCAGGGGACGTCGGGTTTCTTCGAATTCGAAGCCGAAGTCGTCGCAGACGATGACCTTGGCCTCTTTGTTTGTGTAGACCCTGAGGGTTGGCCCTCAGCAGACCTTTTGGTTGAAGTAGAGGCTGATTTTTTGCTTTCAGCTAGCTTCGAAATCAGCAGAGCATCCTCAGCCTCGGCATCTGTAGCCTTGGCCTTAGGCTGAGCCTTTTTTACCCTCTTTGGTTTGGGTGGAAGCATTGATTGCGTTGGTGCGGCTTCGGCGTCAGTTGGAAGGTCGGCGAGAAGATCTTAGACGACAGGCCTTGGACGAACCATTTCGGCTGTTTTTACAAGCTTTCTTCGGCGTTTACGTTCAGGAATTGGTATTAAGTAGGGGGCCGAAGTTGATGGAAGATCGGCTGGGTCAGATGTGGATTCTTGATCTGTTCGGGATGTAGAAGCAGTTAATGTTGTGGCTGTAGGTGGAGAAAGACTCTTCTTCCTTTTTCTTGGGACGTCGGGTAAGGTGGATTTGTATGTAGGGATGAAGTTTAGTAATACTGGGGCTTTTCGTTTATGGATTGGAAGGCCAAGAAGTGTTTTTAGATCTGTTCCTGGGAAGAAGGATTGGCGAAAATTTTTCGGTGGTTGATGAAGATCTGCAAAGAATCAGACGTCAGAAATAAAGTATTAAAATCTTAAGTAAAAACAACTAAGTGTTGACTCAGGGCTCTTACTCTTGCCCTCTGTGATTGTTCGAGGAAGAGGGTAGAGGTGGACATCTTCATCTGGGCCAAATTCCCAATTTCCAGAGGCAATAAGAAAGTCATCTCCAGCCCCCTTGTTGGAGTCTGGGAGGTCGGCTATAATTTTGTACTGTGTGGATCTCGGCTTAAGGTAATAGACAAAACCCCTATCCTTCAGATCGAGAGGGCACATGGTATAACAATATTGAAGGTCAGCTAGGTTGATTCTAAGGTTTTCTTGCCTAGCTAAGGCAATAATACCGTTAATTACCCTATAGGAATTGATAGTAAGTTGCATAGGGTTCAGCTTATAGAAATGGAGAACTTGACGAAAAAGGGGATCGAGTGGAAGCCGAAGTCCACATTCGGTAAAAGCAACTATTGGAAAAGGCATTGTGTGGTCTGTGGGCACGATGGTATCATTATCCCCAGCCAGCTTAAGGTGAACGTCGGCTGGGATAGAGAATTCTTGCCTAAAGTATTCAAGTTTTGTTGGGGTATTTACCCTATGCCTCCACATACCCATTATGTCGGCTTAAACTAAGAGGAATATGTTTCAGGAAATAGGCGTTTTTCAGGTTTCCCTAAAGATTAAGGGTTCTACAGACAAATCCCAAATCTATGAAGTATGAAGATAAAAATCGAGGGCACAAATCTGGGGCAGACACAAAAAAGAGAAAACAAAGACGAAGTTTCAGATTCCAGAATAGAGGTATAGTTCTCAGAAACAATAGAGATACAGAAACAAATCAAGAAACAGCGGCAAGGAGAATGATGAAAAAAGCATAGAAGTCCAAGGTATAGCCACAAATTCAAGATACAGATAAAACCGAAACCTCGAATAAGATTAGTAATGGCAACAGACAGGCAAAAGCACATAAAGAGAATGAAAGAATTAAAGGAAAGGGTCTTACCAGGACAAATGAAGCCGGGGCAGTGCTCGCCGAACCCAGAAATTGATTGCGACAGCAAAGAGGGCTTTTGCAAGAATGAGGGATTAAGAGCAGTTCCAGAAGAAAAAAAAGAAGCAATGGCAGATTCGAAAAAGAATGAGCTTTCAGAGGGGGAAAGAGCAAGAAGACGGAATGAAAAAGTGAAGAAAAGATAGAGGCAGAAGAAAAGTTTTGTCAAAAATGTGAAACGGCGGCAAAATTAGGGCAATCATTACGCCTAGGGTAACGCACGCGTCAGACGGCGCAGACAGACAGCTTCAGGCGCGTCACTGACACGCTTCAATAAAGACGAAACACGTAAAAGAAACAGTTAGATATGCATGACAGCTCATGCGCGTGGAAGAGTACAACCGAAGCCTTGTTCTCCGAAGAGAACACGTCGGCTGAAAGTAGATAAACTTGGCTAAACAGTTTTTTGAGCCATTACTCAGAAAAGAAGTGACAAAATTTCGGAATAGGTTCCATCACCTCAGAATGCCGAGGTAATAGAACCTAGGGGGCAGTTGTGGGGATATATTTTCTGAATACCAACACGTGGCATGGTGACGCCGACGTGTCAGCCGAGGTGCCACGTGCCCTGGTAGTTAAGCCGAGGTAATCTCGGAGAAACCGAGGTCATCTCCGAAGATATCGGAATCCGAGATAAGGGGCAAGAGTCCTAAGGCAAAAAGGGGACTTAACCAAGATAAGGATAAAGCTCTTAGGGAGTTTATCTTTCCTAGGTTTGGTTGCTAACTTGGCTATTTAGCCTAGAAAAAGTCATAAAAAACTTCAAAAATTTTAAGAAGTTAAAAATTTATTATTATTTTTTTGAAAGTTACATAATCACTAAAAAAAATGTCAAAAACACTTTTCCATACAATAAAAAATGTTATTTTGAAATTCACTAACTATTTTTATTCTCATAAAAAAATAAAAAAAAAATTATTAAAAAAGTATTTGATTCTTTCTTTTTTCTGTCTGTTTCAGGTTGCTTAAGCCATCTATTCTGCTTGTGCTCTCCAGCTGATCACTAAACGGGCAGTGTGGTCGGATTTTCACCCACACACAAACATAAGTTCTCTCCAGTTCAGTACTGGCCATCATAATTTTTATAAACTTCAACATAAACACGGATACAAACACCAAATAAGAAAAATAAATACTGCATTTGAATCCTGGTGGTGTTCCATAATCATGCATGTTTCTTAGAGACCTTAATATACATGCCATCATGAAATTGTAACATAGGTGTTCGGGCTACATCTCCTCCCTTAATTTTCGTCCACCTATCAAAATCAAAAACAGAAATGAAAAAACACATTTTTAAATGAAAAAATAAAAAAAATGTAAAAATCTTATTAACATGTTATCTTAATTTTCAGATTCATCCTTTTTTTTTTCCTTGTGAAAGTAATCCACTGATATAAATTCGTCATGAAGATATATCCTCTTAACTAAATGGATACTAAGAATTGAATTTTATTATTTTTTTTCCATTTTCTTCATTTTGGGTCATATTTGTCACTATAATTGAAACAACATGATCAACCATGAAATGTGAAACAAATTTTAAAAGGACATTATTATTAGTAGTAGTACATACTTGTATTCCCTGAGTAAAACATGTAGGAAGGTGGCAAATAATGCCTTGGCCAACTCTGCACCTGCGCATTGTCTTATCCCTCCACCAAAAGGCATAAAATTCTTTGATGCGGTTTGCGGATCAATGTCCTATTTTCATCAATGAATCAAAGATTGGGTCATATATATAATGTTTTTATGTCTCAAAGCACTATCAATAATATTAGATTATGTGAGAATTTTGGGACACTAAAAATTCAACACATGATCTAATGAATGAAAATGCATATTGGGACAATAGATCTATGACCAACAGTATTATATCATTAATTCTTTGTTTTAAAAGAGAGAGAAAGAAAATAAAATTAACCTTCCAACGTCTCGGATTGAATGCAAGTGGATCCTTAAATACGTTGGGATTTAGTTGAAGAGTACAAGTGACAATCATAATGGCCCAACCTGCTGGAATTGTATAACCTGGAGATTGGAATTAGACAATTGTTATTAAACTCTGAGATGATTTAAGTTTGAGATGTGCAACCCTAAGCATCGTGTCACAAATTATTTAATAGGTCGGAATTATAAAACATGTGGTGTTCTTTCCTAATAGGAGACGAAGGAATACATGACCATTTGACAAAGGGAACCACACAAGGAGTAGCTCCTCTCAATAGTTCATTTTCTCCATAATTCTCAAGAATTCATTTTATGGTTTTCGTAGAGCCTCACAAGAGTGATTTGAACCATTTATTTCATAAGTCTCGAAGAGAAAAACATATATACAAAAGATCAACTTGATTGAAAATCAATATATACACTAACTAATTGTGTTTTGTTTTATGAAATTGATGCTAAATATTATTTTAAACCAAAGCTGTTCATTTTATAAGACAAAATATGATAGTTAGTATGATTATTGATATTCGATTAAGCTAATTTTTTACATATATATTCTTCTCTTCTAGGTCTATGAGGTAAACACTTTAGATTATCGTGGTTAAGGGTCATCAATGGGCCTAGCTGGGCTTACCTAGCCCGCAACTATAGTGTCCAAATTCCATATTTTAATGGATTTTTTGAGTTTTGACCAATCAATGGGCTGGTATAGGCTGAGTCTATTTAAAAAATTAAAATCATGTCCCACCCATAAATCAAAATTTTACAGGCCAAAATCAAACAAAACCGGGCTAAACATTCACTTATATTATTAATTTTTGCACATTTGTCATTCACATATCCTTAATATTTTCATTAGTTATTTTTCTTATTTACTTTCCAACATAATTCAAGTATTTTGATTTCTTTTTTTCTTTTTTTTTTTTACATCCCATATGGTAAAAAAATAAAAAAATAAATAAAAATCAAGTAACATATTATACCTACAAGTGGAGGGGCAAAAAATGGAAAGAAAAAAAAAAAAAGCTTTAAACATGAGAACAAAAAAATAAATATATAAATAATCAAACTAAACATTAGACCAAAAAAACTCAAACTAAATATTAGAATTACCCATGCGGGCTCTTACAGGCTGAGTTTATGAGCAAACTCATTTTACAAACTTTTGTCTAAAATCCTAAATCATCTTTTATAAGTTGGGATGGGATGAACACTTAAGTGAGTTGGGACGAACCATGGGACGGGTTGGTCATGTTGCGTAATATCGAGTTTTTTTAATCACAAGCCATTTGGAAACCCTTAATCGTGGTGGAACACCACGGAACCCACAAAGTAGAGTCTAGAAAGTTGTCGAGGAAATAAAGTCTTGAGAGGAGCTGCTCTTCCATAACACAAAGCCCGTTTATTTTGAGAGATAGAGGAAGAGATTGAATTAGGATAAATGCAGTGTTTGTTTGCAAAATTGGAAAGGGGATTCACAATCCCTTAGGACTGTGATAGGTCTTAGAGGAAGGAATTAACAAAGACTTCTAAGGTTTGGATTTCAAAACTAGTGAGCGGATGCCTGAACTGAAGAAAGAAAAAAAAAAAGGCCACACAAATACAGAACACATAATATGGGCAAAATATGTGTTGTGTATTTGTGGGGGTTTTTTTGTGTGTGTGTGTGTGTGTGTGTGGGGGGGGGGGGGATTGTAAAAAGGAAAAGAGAAAAATTTGGTAAAATGTGAATAAAATATACCTACATTTCACCTAATTTCACACACCTTTTCCCTTTCTCTTTCCAATTCTCTCCCCAAATCCCTCAACCAAACACAGCATAATTGTCCAATTTGTTACAAATCTTGTTGTTATATTGTGAACATCTAAAAAAAAAAATGAATTTTGTGATGAGAATGTTTTTTTGAATTTTTGTAAGTTTATAATGAGTCATTGTAGTGTAGTTATAAAATAAAAAATAAATAAATAAAAAAACAAACAAACATACAATAGGCACTTTTTATATAGCATATTTTTCCCAACAAAATCGGCATCATTGAAGATTAAGATTTGCTAAAGGGATTTTGATGACTTGGGGGTGATTAGCTAGGCTTTTATGATCTCTGACTCTGATTGAATTTGACTTGCACTAATACAACAAAAATGATACATTCAAGATTGAAAAAAGGGGTTATGGCAACTTGCATTGGTCCAACAAAAATAAATATTATTTAGAAAGTTTGCTCTGACACAATTACAAATAAATTTGAGCAAATTACACTATTAGTCATATAATTTAAACGAAGTGTCATTTTAGTCTTCCTAATTTTAATTTGAATCATACACTTTTAATTTTATTCAGAGTTTACAAAAATGTGTAGTATATATACATATTTCAGCGTTTTTGTCTATTTCATCCATTGTTTAAAAAAAAAAAAAAAAATTACCAAAAACTAAACGTAGAATGTAAATGCCATAGTTCTAGAATTCTGGTTTTGCATTGGTGGCAAGTCATCACCAAAAAACAAATCTTGATCAAAACATGTTGTAATGAAATGGGCATTTTTGAAAATGAATTCTCTCTCTCTCTCTCTCTCTCTGGTTAATGCTAATGACAGATACCAACTTAAATGTTAAGGGACCCTCTTCAATCCAACCACATGATGTTTCAACTACAAAACCAATTCCCCTACCCACAGAATTTTTTTATATTTTTGGGATAAGGAAAAAAGAAAAGAAAAGAGAGAAATCGAAGAAAATAATTGTAAATCAATGAAGTGAATGCTCGCTTGTATTCCATCGATTTGCAATTACTTTTCTTGTTCATCAATTTTTGGTATTCATTATTTTCTCTTTCTTTCTCTTTTTTTTTTTTTTTTGAAATTCATAAGTTCTGTCAGTTTGTTGTTCTTAACTATTTAGAACATCTGAGTGTAGTTGTGCCACTAGTCCCTATTTCTTTTTGTTAACATTTCCAACTTAAATTTTAAACTTGCTACGCAATGTTAAAAGGGGTAAATAACATTTTTCACCTTAGTTTGATTCAAATTTCACTTTAATTGTTATGATTTTAGTCTAAACATAATTAACTCTATATTTTAAATCTAATTTCAATTTGTTCATTCTATTAAAATTGAACATTAAAATTAATGATTTTTTAATATGTGCCAATCACATGAAAAGTACATAGACAAAATATTGATAATAATTTGGAGGAAAGACCAAATTGAAATCGAACAATTTAGAGTTTATGTTATTCAAATTGAAACAATAATGATTAAATTGAAATTTAGGTTAAATTGTAAAGGTAAAAAGTATAAATTACCTTTTACAAAAAAAAAAATATTTAACATTGTATTTGAAATTTTAGATGAATATCTTCATGGTCATGATCAATCATTGGGAACGACTTTTAACAAAAATAAAGGCTTACATCAAGAAAAGTCTTTATTAATCCTAGGTTTGGATTCATCTTTACCTCGAAAAACAAATGGTAATTGCTATAATAACTTCAATACATGTGCATACCCTTTATGATTCAATTTGATTAAACTTACAATTTAATATGATTGATTTACAATACAACTATATACTATATTGTAGCTCGACTATATTGATTTGGGAGAGTAACATCTAAAAGAAAAGTAAAGTGTTATTGTGGAGATATATTTTTTGAGTATCAACATGTAGCTAAGATGACGCCGACGCGTCAGCTGAGGTGCTACGTGTCCTAATCATGACGCCGAGGTTATCTCGACGAAGCCGAGGTTACCTCCGAAGATATCGGAATCCGAGATAAGCGGATAAGGCACAAGAGTCCTAGAAAGAGGGAAGACTACAGTTGGGAAAGGATAAAATTCTTAGAGAGTTTATCCCAATCCTACTAGGAGTCCAAGATTAATAGTAATCCTAAGTCCATTAGAGCTAGGCTCCTGTTGGGACAAGGATTGAGTTAACTATAAAAGAGAGGCACTCCCGTGGGTCTAAGGTACGCAATTTGTATTTTCAATAGTGAGATTAACACTATTGATTATCTTTGAGAGATATACTGACTTGATCGTCGGAGTGCCCCCGGTTGGACGAACCACCGCCGGAATCTTCTCTTTCTGTTGCAGGTCAGCCAGGTGTCATCTATTTTGCCAGTGTTCTCCAGCTGAATACTAAGTTGGCAGTGTGGTCGGAAAATCACCCACACAATTTGGCGCCGTCTGTGAGAAAGAAAGGAGAATAGATGGCTAGTAACGGACAGAAGAAAAAAGATTGGGGACGACACTCCTGCTGGGAGTGGGAGACCTATTGACCTTGATATCACAGGAGACGAATGCAACGTAGAAACTCGTGACCAGAATCACGGAGTGAAAGATGTCGGCCAGACCGGCGACGCACCAAAGAAACCTGATCGAAGTGGATACTACAACGAGGATGACCTCCAGGTATGGAAGGATAGGTGCCTGCGGAGGAACGAAGAGGTAAAAGAGATGGCAAACAAATTGGCAGACCTGCAGTCGGTTATCAATTTCATGATGCAAAATAACGTTATGCAGCCACCGTTCCCACTGCAGGACATGTCGATTCCAGCGGCCAATGCCCAGAAGGGAGGACAAAAAACAATCCTCGTAGCCCCTCAGTACAACGGGAGCGAAAGATACTCTCACCGACCTTCTAGGGAAGTCGGACGAAGAGAGTCAAGAAGAGAAGAATCATGGAGGACGCATCGCACAAAGGAGGCAGACCCCAAAGGACATCGGCATATTCAGGGACAGACACTGTGCTTCGACACAACTCATGGAGCAGGGTCGAAAAGGACTCACTATGAAGCTGAAAGTAGTGCACCAAAAAGACTGAAAGCAGGAGATAGCCGAGCTCCTGGGCGGATGAAGGAGGACTTAAGAGATTACCTCAAGAGGAAGCAACAGAACGTCGACGCCGAGGTAACCTCCCCAGATAAGCCGAGGACACCATTCTCGGTGGAATTTGACAGGTTTGAGGCGCCGAAGAGATTCAGTATGCCGAGGTTCCAAATATACGATGGTAAGTCAGACCCCAACTTCCACGTTGGATTATATTTGAACTCAATGGCATTGTATAGTGGGAACGAGCCGTTGCTCTGCAAAGTGTTTCCCTTATCCTTCGAGGAGATTGCATCAGATTGGTTCCACAAACTACCAAAGGGAAGCGTGAAGACTTGGG